ATGTACATTTTTGTATAATTACAATATTTAAAAATATTTAGTCATTAATACTTAATATTATTATTACATAGCACCGATATTCTATTTGGCACAAAAAATAAAACTCTTATGATAATAAAATCGGCGTTTGAAAATATACGACGATTTTTGTAATTATAAGATTTCTAGTACAAAATTCAAGGCTGTCCTGTTCCTAAATTTTGTAAAATCAATTTTTTACTAAAATTAAAGGTTTTCAAGACGAATGTTAAAGTTATTATATNCATTTCTTTTTTTTAAATGTAAGAATTTAAAAACACAGTATCTTAATGTATCAGTTTTTTTAATGTTTTCACTTGTTAAAGGTCTAATTTTAAGATGCATTCTATATATTTAAAAAACTTAATTTCTTAGAGAAAAATAAAATTATAAGGAGTGAACTTTGACATACAAATAATAAAATTATTGAGGATCAAAAATGTCTTGCCATATAACGTTTTAAATGCTATCTTGGTTCTCCGAATCATTTTATATGAATATATTCTCAGGATTTTCACATCTTCATACTAATACGTATAGTTGACCTAGAAAAAACAAAAGTCTTTTGTAGTGAGATCTTAATTTATTAAAACTTTAACCTTGCGACTTATTAATTGTCATGAAAAAAGCTAAAACTATTGAAAACTGTTTTCTGTATATAATAAACGGTAAAGATAAATTATTACTGGTATTTGACGTGATTCTTGGAATACAAACTTTAAAACTAGACTTTCACCAGTTATTATTTCTGCTTCTAAATTACATTTACATAATTATGTTATATGTTGCCTAGTGCCATTGTACAACCCATTGAATATACTCAAGTTTCTTATCAACAAAACAATAGCATCTACTTTAAAATTTAAGACTCGTGGCTGTTATCCTTTATGTATATTTTTTAAAGATTCTATAAGAAAATTTATGTTCATATTTTCATTAGTGCGATCACTACCTTTATATTTTCATAATCTATGCTGTAATAAGTATGTTCTTTTTCTTAAACATAATTCAAAATTTCATTATTTAAAATGTACGAAAGTTCGTTATAAGTTGCTGGAATAACTTTGTTTAGGCAGCTATTTACACCATCTCCATGAATTTGTTGACAAACATCGTCAGTTTTTCATCCCTGCGAAATTTTAAAAGACTTTATTCTTCCATTTTTAATGTCTATTATCAATAATGAAAATTTCAAATCTGTACGCTGCATATTACTTTTCAATTTCATAATTTTTAAGTGTTTCCATAAAAATGAATACTTTAAGGTTTGACTAATTTTAAAACTTTTACACTCACGCTTTATCCCTGGAAGTATTGGTCTCAAATCGCCTCCTTAAATAAATAGTTTTTCACCAAATACAATATTGTTATCACATAAATCTTTTCAAGTTCTATGCACGCTTTGTCCAAAGCTTTTTTAGAGATCACTGAAGCTTCGTCCCAAATAATTACATTTACTTTTCGTTATTTTTTTTATCAGCTTTATATCCTAAAAAATAACTTCCAATTTTATTTAAATCTAATAATCAAAATGTTCTATGACTTGTCATTCCTCTAGGTAATAAAATTAAAACAATTTCTGTTCGAGCCAAAGATATAACCTTTTTCTTTTTAAACAAAAAATGAAATATTAATGTTTCATATAAAAATGTTCTTACATAACCTTTTGGACCTTCAATAAAATATAATTTTGTATCACTGTAAATAATTTTATTAAAAATTTTTTTTCATCACTATTGAGGTTAACAAATATATCCTTAACATTTGTTTCTTTATCAATCACAGTTTCATTGTCCTCAATATTTTCAGATTTTACTGTTTCATTTGGTTTTGGTAGTCCATACTCTTTACATGATTTTTCTTCGAGATTAAAGATTTCATTTAAATGTAATAAAGCATTTGTTTGTTAATTGTCTTTTGAATCTTCGATGAAAAATTTTTCATAGTGAATCCCAAAAAGATTTACCACAAACGTCTTTAGAAATTAAAAACCATGCGAAAAATTGTCTCAGTTGATATGGCAGCATAACGTTTAAAGCTTCTTTAAATATTTTATATATTTAAGAGTCGTCTTCAACTTAACCTAAAGCAATATCAGTATCTCTAAACGTACTGTAATATATGTTATCAACTGTTTTCACACTTTAGAAGGATTCAGCTCCACTCACCCGATTTGCAATTAATTTGAAAAAAAAACGCTCAGAGTCTGTAGGTGATACTATATTTAGTCACTTTATTGTTAAATTATGTCTAACTCTTTCTCTCCTAACCCAACTTTTTACCGTCAAATTGAAACAGTAATATTCTGAAATATTCACGTATCTAATTTTTTTGCGAAACTATATATTTTATTCAATTTAAACCAAGCCGTTAATGCTGTTTCGGATTTTTCTACAGCTTTAAACATATTATTAAAAAAAAAACTAAATTTTGTTTATTTTCAATATCACTGGTAAATTAAATACAGAATGACTACGTCTACACAAAGAGAAATCTTGCAATCGCCATGCTGCTTCCATGGAACTTAAATAGCGGCCATCTACATACTCTGATATTTCATCGAAAATCTCTATATTGTCATTTTTATCACTCGTATCTGTTTTCGTTATTTTACGTGATGCTTAATCTTCTTACACTAGCTAATGCTTATGCTTATATAGTTGATGCTTAATATACTTACTTTATTAGTTGCACAATACTCAACATTAATATGGCGGTTATATTTGGTTAACAAAAACGTATTGTATAGTACTACCATTAAATTATCAACTAAAATTTTTTTATTACTATTTTTGATTTTATATACGTGATAATCACATCTACTGTCACTTTTCTTTGTAATTTGGGTATCCATTTCCATAAAAACAATATCAATAGAAAATTTTTTTTGAAACTTTTTTATAAAAATTTTTTGATAACTGGTAAGACATGGACTATTTTTACCATGAGGTCTATGAAGCATGTCTTTATAACTAATTTTTGTATTTGTAAATAAAGTGGAATTTCCTGAAATATATTAATTTATGACGATAGTAGTCAATAATTTATTGTTTGTGTGCAATGTTACAACAATATGAAAATGAGGTAATCCTCTTTTTTCAAGTTCAATGGCATAAACGTAAGTAATAACTTTTCCGAAAATATTGTGTTTAGTTATACTGTCTAAAATTAATTTCGATTTTGTATGAAGTAATCTAATAGTTACATTCGGTATATCATTCGGAATGGTACCTTCAAGAAAGTTTTTTATAATTTGCTTTATTTCTAACCATTTACGGTTACATGTAATGGTAATAAAAAAATCAGGTCGTCTAAACTTTTGCATTATTACCATTGCAGCTTGATAATGTTAGTCTATTGCTTGCTGTCATAATATATGCATGCAAAAAAATTGTTGCGTTAATCTTTCAGCATAGAGTGTGAGACTACAAATTTTACTATTTGGTCGATAGGAAGTTGGATATAAGTAATATTGAAGCCATGTAAGATTTGGATCACGAAAAATTACGTGGAGGAGCTGTGAGGTGTTGGATAAAAACTGCGATGTATTGTAATAAGGGAGAAAATGACGGGTTTTTACCTTATTTTGTGGTGGACAATGGTGGTCTGTGGGAGGGGCTGTTGNTAAATACTTTTTTTAAATTCTTTTATTACAAATTATGTGAGAGATTCATCCAAATCCAGGTAAAATTAAAATGTAAACTTAGGATGACAAAAAAATCAAAATAAATGTTGGTAAAATACTGAATCTCCTCCTCCTACAGGATCGAAAAATAAAGTATTAAACTTCGATCCAATAAAAGTATAGAAATAGCTCCTGCTAATACAGGTTACGATAATAATAAAGAAATTGCTGTTAATAATATTGCTCATGCAAATAATGGTATTATTTCTGATTTAAAAATTTTTATATTTTAAATAGTTGAAACAAAATTAATTAACCCTATAATTATTATAACTTAGGTATTTAATAATCTGTGACCAGTATTTGTGTGTTTCTTTTTTTAATTGGGGGCAGTGGAGGGCGCTAGGGTGTGTTTGGGGGGTTGTATGGAACTCCCCACCGAGATACCTATAGTGTGTGTGTGTGTGTGAGAAGCCGCGGCTTATTAGTAGAAGAAAGGAGCATGAGTGGAGAAAGAAGGGGCATAAAAAGGACCGCAGCAGTGTTCACGGGGCTCCAGAACAAGGAAACCAAAAGGAGAGTGATCATTATAAGTAACTCGAGACTGCCAAGCACCTTTTCGTAAGGAAATACAACAATACAGTAATGGATCGAGTGTAAATGTCTTGTTGTTATCAAGCAATTTAAGCCATTAGAATCTAGGTGGATTTATCCTGGAATTAAAGAATTAATTATTTAAAAAACTTATGACAAATAAAGTTATCAAAGTTATCAAAGCAGAAAAATTTATCCCAAACATTGTGGAGGTGTGGGCAGAGGACAGGGAAGTTGCTTACTCAATCATCGTATAAATTTATGAAACTCCTGGATTAACTCCACTTGCGTCTTTGAGTTTAATTTTTACATATGAAAACAATAACTTGTATGGGTTGAGGCATATACTTTCATTTATTTTATCAGTGCTTTGTCATACAAAACGACCTTATTAAGAACTATAAATAACATACTAACTATTACAAAAGCTGTCAAATAACAGAAAAACAGTTAATTATAATTTTTCAACTACTTCTCACTTATTTATGTAAAAAAATAGACCGCATTTTAAATAATATGTATCAACAGCAAACCCCATTTTATGTACCCCATTTTTACTTTTAAAAAATTTTACTTTCCTTCAACATATAACACTTTTTTACTTTCGGCTACATACTTTTTCGCCTGCTTGCTGTTTGTTGATGTTGGAGACGTAAAAAACGTGAATATTAGATTAAGTAAAAAATGATAAATGATCCTAATATATTCTTTCTAAATTATATTTGAGTATTTTGATAAGCTTTAGATTAATTTCAATTTTTACCTTTCAGATAGAGTCATTCTTGGAGGGGGTGCGTGAGAGGCAGTAGAAGAGCTGTCACTATCATCACTTGCGGAAGATTCTGCAGGTGGATGAATGACTGTCATGTCTGGATGACTTGGATGTACCTTCTCAACTTTAATATGCTTATTTATCTGTAAAAGAATTTAAAGGATCATTTGTTTCAATTATTATATTCTTCGAGATTAAAGATTTCATTTAAATGTAATAAAGCATTTGTTTGTTAATTGTCTTTTGAATCTTCGATGAAAAATTTTTCATAGTGAATCCCAAAAAGATTTACCACAAACGTCTTTAGAAATTAAAAACCATGCGAAAAATTGTCTCAGTTGATATGGCAGCATAACGTTTAAAGCTTCTTTAAATATTTTATATATTTAAGAGTCGTCTTCAACTTAACCTAAAGCAATATCAGTATCTCTAAACGTACTGTAATATATGTTATCAACTGTTTTCACACTTTAGAAGGATTCAGCTCCACTCACCCGATTTGCAATTAATTTGAAAAAAAAACGCTCAGAGTCTGTAGGTGATACTATATTTAGTCACTTTATTGTTAAATTATGTCTAACTCTTTCTCTCCTAACCCAACTTTTTACCGTCAAATTGAAACAGTAATATTCTGAAATATTCACGTATCTAATTTTTTTGCGAAACTATATATTTTATTCAATTTAAACCAAGCCGTTAATGCTGTTTCGGATTTTTCTACAGCTTTAAACATATTATTAAAAAAAAAACTAAATTTTGTTTATTTTCAATATCACTGGTAAATTAAATACAGAATGACTACGT